CGTGGGTCCAAAAGTCACAGGACTCATCGGAGTTGGCGACGTCTGGTCGGCCATGGCTCAAACAAGCTGCAGGTTTCTACAAACCTTTCCAAAAACAAAAACTCTTCTCGCAAGCGTCTGCCCCTCACCCTTAGGATCCTCGGGGCTCCGCTACCATGTGAAAACACGGAAGCGTGTGCGACCCTTTTGCGAATCCCGCTCTTGAGCCAAACATAACAGTCGGTTTGACTGTATGTCTGTTCGTCCTTCTCTTCTCTGAAGAGGTCTGACTGGTCACAGTCGTCCAAAACATACTAAAGGTACAAGAAAGCATCTCCAAACACTCTCAAGCAAAGCTAGGCTATACACAGCTCATCTCAAGCACTACAGCTCTATACTTAGGGCTTCTCTAGACATGCTCCTAGCCACTTCTGGTCACATTCCACTTAGTCCTGCTAAGGTGGTCAAAGCAAACACACTCCAGAGAGGAAGATCCCTACTCAGCTCCAACCCCAAGGACAGAAAACGAAAAAGTTCCACTACACAGAGGTACTAGGTGATCCACACACTGTACAGGCGTGCTACCCACACTTTTCACAATGTGCTCTAACTTTGAGAAATGCTGCGTCATTGCAAAAGCATTGTTCTGTTGCGTGCAAGGCCCGTGTGAAACAGGTGAGACCGTGGACCCACCCTAGCATGGCATATGTGCCTCTTTGTACAAATTGGAAATGTCGGACATCAACAGAGGGAACTAAGATTCCCCCTGGGCATCCTCCATTGCCACTCTCTACCACCCGCCTGTTGGGAACGAGGAGCCAAGGCTCTCATTCCTATTGGCTCACTGTATCGTGAATGGCGAAAAGAAGTTGGCGACCCTGCTTAACGTTTGCACATTTCACTTGCCCCAGCTTCCTGGCGGAGTGCTTATGCACCATTTCCGCCGCGAAAGCATTGCTGGCCTTTGGTGCAGGTTCTAGAAAGTCTTCTCTCCATGAATCACTGGCATCGGCCGGCAAAACTCGGGCTGGTCGAGTTGCTCACATTTGTCAAACGTATTGGGTCGGACATGTCCCTCGCCATGTTGGGGGACCTCCTGTAAAGAGGCACACTTGAGGAAGGCTTCTTATTCCGTGACTCAGTTTGGGACGGATCAACAGTTTGCAGCTGTTGGCGGCTCGCACAGGCGGTGGAGCCTGTCCTGTTGAAGTCTGTCGGCAAGGCAAGTGCGACAATGCCCGCCCCCAGAAAACAGCAGTCCGGCAAGCATCTGTTTGGATGCGCTGCATCCGGCTCTGGCATGCCTCAATTGATGTGAGCTGTGCATGTTTGAAAGCTCGAGGCCTCAGTTGGGCTTGGGGGGGCTAGCCGATTGCAGAGACATTAAGCTGTGCCCATCCTTGTTAAGGAGCGACACTATTCGGATGTTTAGCGCCGAAATGCTTCCAACCGGGGGCAAACACAACTCGTGCAATTTGTACTGTGTCTGACAAGTAGACGATTTGCAACTGTCGACAGCTCCCACGCAGCCTCTCCGACAATCTTGACACCGCTTTCAACAAGTACGTGACGGATCCCTGTGCAAAAGGGAACGGCTTGTGGGAATGTGTGTCATTTCCACCACGCGGCACCGGATTGCCTTGACTTCCCCTGTTTCGATTCGACAGCGACGATTTTCAATCACCCTCCTGTTTCACGGAAGGCAACTACAGCAAGTTATTTTGGATGAAAAGCAGTTTGATGTGACCTCTGCCCTACTCTGGACTCGAGCGAAGGCGCGCGCCCAGACTCTTGATGGGTGACGGCGAGACCGCGATAGCTGTGGTCAGAGAGACGTGTCTTCATCCAAGACCAGGGGTGATCCCATGTCCTGATCATATGCAGCCAGGGGGTGGCCATCTTACAAATGGCAAAAGCATTCTCTTCAGCATAGACTCCTTTTGCACCTTCCTGGCATCTTGGCTCTGAAGGACAGTGCAGTCCAAGAAAGCCCTGCTTCCAACATGTATTTTAGCGAGAGCGGGATGGCAAGCTCAACCATCCTTCAAGTTGTTCCTGCGATGGCAGGATTGCACTGCTGTCCCTGAAGACAACAGTGTATTCCGTGCTTTGCTGCAGCTTGTCCCAGATTGGGTCCTCTAGGTATGTCTGCGTGGCAGTTTGCAGAAAGTCGATGGAGCACCCAACCACTTCAAGGTCAGTTACTGAGACCAGATAGTCCATAACCTGCTCCTGTAGGTCCTCAAATCGATCAAATTTTGCCACACTGAGAGAGACCTTGAGAGTGACCCCCGAGAGCGTTGTCAGTACCAAGAAGCAGTCCATGACCGGCTCCGTTTCAGGGAGAGTGCTAAGTCTGGATGAGTCGTCGAGCTCCATGTGGCACTTTCATTTGCTGTTTGAGCCAAAAGCTTCTCACTCTGCTCATTGACTGTTTCTAGGGCCGGGGATGCTTCTAGAGACAGATGCCAAGGCATCCACCATGACCTCCGCATGGACTGGCCCCTTTGGTTGTATAGCTCTTCGTCAAAGGCATCCGAATCGGGTCCTTCAGCGGGAAGCAGCTCCACCCACAGTGGTCTTTCAAATTTGTCACACATAAAGAAAGCATTGTGCTCTGCCTGCACAGACTGTTCAATCTCCCTCCAATCTAGGGGCGTAAGTCGTTGCAGTTGCTTACACCCACAGAAAGCACGGATGCCTGTGTCACTTGGCTCTGTCGGGATGACCACTTCTTGGAGCGCAACACAATTAAGGAAAACTTCTTTGCCAATTTGCGTTAGTCGCAGCGGAAGCCACACACAATTCAGAGCCACGCAGTGGGCAAAGGTGGAGTGGAGCAGGGCTGTGATTTCTGCGCACATGAGGTTAACCTCCACAAGTCCTTTGCAGTTTTCACAGACCAGTGGCCGATGTTGTGAAAGTCACCTGGCAAACGAGCGGGAGGGTGTGCCTGTCGCACCCTTATCTGCAGGCTTTCGTCGTTTGCTATGACCGCCTCTTCTACATCACCAACTAATATGCCTCTGGACTTGTAAGTGCAATCAGTTGAATGGGTTGTGCCGCAAGAAAGGTTTTTTCCCGGCATGAAGCATAGCAACCACTGATCCATTTTGACATGGATGCAACCGGCGTAGGAGCATAGCTATGCTCCTAGCCTGCCTCGCGACCAAGTTTTTGCCACACCGTGCAGTGGCCGCTGGTCACTGGTAATTGCGAAGTGAAGTCCATTTGAAGACTTTCGGAAACTTTGCTAGAGCACAAACCCGCGCTGCCATGCTTTTCGTTCGAGAATTCAGGCCCATTGATAGTGAGTAGTTTTCGTTTCACCTGTTTCACTTTAGCACAGAGGAAAGACTACAAGATGGTGGAGACTCGGCCTGTGGGCTCTGGTTCGTCACGAAAACACACTTTTAACCGACGTCGCGCAAAACCGCATGGCACAGCGACATCACAGATGGACTGTGGCCACATGGTGCCACGCACTACATACAACCATGTCACACCCAGCCTCGTATACACCGCCACTCATCCTGCTCCCCAGCGGTACGCCCATCTACGCTAGCGTGCCCCAGCGGCACGGACTCGCGCAAAACCCGAAGCTACTTCCCACACTACACGTCTACCGCAAAATCTGCAGAGTGACCACATCTGAGGCCACCTCACACAGAAGCTGCTTCCCGCAATAGATTTTGCCAGTTCTGAGGCCACAGTTTCATTTGTACTGCAAAGCACGCACCAAAACGAGCGTTTCGTACAACGCTGCCTCCAAAAGTCGCAGTTCAAGTCTCCAAAGCAAGCGTTTCGCCTGAGACTTCTTTGAAAGGACACACGTCAAGCCTGCAACATGAACCTTTCGTACAAGGCTTCCTCAAAAACTCACACTTCAAGTCTGCAACACGAGCGTTTCGTATGAGACTTCCTCCAAAATTCACGCGTCAAGCCTCCAAAACGAGCGTTTCGTCCGAGACTTCCTACAAAAGTTGTATGTTCAAGTCTCCAAAGCCGGCAAAATTCGCACTTCGCCACATGTTCGAGCACTCGACACGGGACCGGTACAATTCGCATTTCACCGCGCGTTTGGGCACTTGACCCGTCAAATTTGCATTTCGCTAGACGTTTGGGCACTTGACGAGCCGAGAGAGTGGCGCAATTCGCATTTCACCACACGGGCAAAACTTGCACAGACCTGGCCAACCCCAAACTTCATCTCTTCACTTCGCCTTTGCTCTTGCCTTGGCCGCCTGCATCTCACTGTTGCAGCGCTCGACGTCCACCGCAACCTACCTTGCCAATGAAGTTCTCAACGCTGACCTTGTTCAAAGATCCCTTCTTGGGAAGCTCATTGAGCATCAGCAGGTTCTGCTAAATGCTGGATGTGAGTGGACAAGGCTTTGTAGGAGGAAGTTGGTCATGCGACGCGATCAACTTCTGGCCATCCTTCAGCAGTCGCTCACAAGCTGCCTTTGCTTTGTCGGCAAATTTCTTCACAGCATCGGGCAGCTTTCTTTGTCCAGCCATATTCGGCGACCGCAGAATTCGCGTTTCGCTACACGTTTGGGCACTCGACAGGCCGGATCCTGCGAGAGGGTTGCTTCTCGCGTTCTGTCGCTTGGTCCGGCTCTACAGATACTGAAAGATTAGAGGTGTCAAGACAACATAAAACTTGGTCGAGTCTCTCGCAAGTGCTAAAACTTGGTCAAGTCTTTTGCAAATACTGAAACTTGATCAAGTCTCTTGCAAGTGCTAAAGCCTGAGCAAAACTCTTACAAGTGCTAAAGCCTTCGCAAGATTTTGGTAAGCGCTTAAACCCTGAGCTAGACGGACCAAGTGCCTTTAGGAAGAGCCCTTCGACCAAGTCTTTCGGGAAAAATGTCTTTTGAATCATGCAGATCTCATGTTACTTCACCAGTTCCAACTCTATGAATCCCTTACTCAGTCAATCTCCCAAACAAAAAGCTTCTTCCACTGAGCCCTGGAAACCTCCCACCCCTCCTTACTCTCTATCCTCGCTGTGTGGCCACTCACGGTGCGGGCGATGAAATTGCTCGGATCGAAGGGAAAGCTCTCCTGACAAAATCCTAAAAAGCCGTGACAGTCGGATGGGGGCTAATCCAACTGTTCATCTTGATTAAATCCTGGCTAAATCCTGCTTAAATCAAACATGATCCAACAAACAACTCAGTATTTCTCAACGTCAAACCCAAAGGCAAAACTTCCGGGCTTCCAGGGTCAGATCAAAGCGTCGATGAGTTTCGTGCGCGAAAGCCATCTGCAGTCTTCGTCACTGTCTTACCTCTTTCCCAAAGCACTGAACAAGCTCTTACAAGGAAGACTTCCTGAGAATCCTTCAATCTGTGGGCTATGTTGTAACCTTCGCACATCTGCAGTCGTTTGTCTTCCCCTCTCCTGCTCTGCTGTCTTCAGCACCGTCGACCAAAGCTCTGCCTGACCGGAAACTTGCACACGGAAGCTCTGCTTGTCCGGTGTTTGAGGTTCTGCATGGTCTGCACCTGTTACTACTAGCGTGGCACTTGTTACTAATAGCTTCTTGTT